TCAATTCTTCATAACATTCTTCATAACGGTCTTCAATTCTTGTATAAAATTCCAAATCGTCGCGTGAATAGGGGAAGCCGGGGTTAATTCTAACAACTTTGACGTTTCTCATTTTATTATTGACTGTAATGAGTTTTCACGATTGAAACTGCATACACATGCTAACCGAAACTTCCACTAAACGAACGTTTAGGTTTTACCGCTTTGAAAGTTGAAGAAAAATTGTTAACATTATTTTCCGTACTAAACGCCTTTATTACAATTGCTGCCGGTATACAAGACCGCGCTAAGCAGGTGCGCAAGGTGTACAAGGCACAAGGGCGGCCGAGCTAAGGGGCGGAAAAATATTACGTTTCAAATTCACAAATTTCGGCGCCCGCGCAGCGCAAATAAATTATTATTACGTAAATTTACTTAGAATTCTTGTATTTTGAATGGAAAGTAAAGGGCACAACGGTGACCACCTGCCTCAGCGCGGTCCTGCTGGTATATAGAGTGCAATTGTAACACTTGTCGGGACAAATGTAACGATACTTATTAATTTGAAAAATTAAATCAATTTTTGCAAATGAAAAGTATAATTTGACAACTACGTTAAAACACAACGGACTATATTTATTTGGGATTCGTATGGAAATAAATATAACATCTGACAGACTCGTAACCAACATGCAAGTTAAACGATAAATGTTAAACCGATCTGTTTTATTATCCATTCTGTTTATGAATTCCTTATGTGTCCAGGGCATGTTCTCATGTTCAAAAGGTCTGCCGCAAGTAAAGTTTACCGAATATTTTTATGACAATGTAAATGATTGGAGTCAACTTGACTTGTTACAACCGTCCCCGATGTATTTTGTCAAATGATTCATACAATTATAACCACTTGGAGTTATTTTAATGTAAATGCATTAAACATATTACGAACTACTTAATCGCAATGCAGTGACACGAGTAAATTACCTTTTTCCTTTGCCCCCAATTGAGTACTAACCAAAAATATTACTCACCTACGCCATTTTAAGATAAATGTCAATAACATCGGAACGCAAGGTCTAACAAACATGAAATTATTATGAGACATTCATAACGTTAACGTAAAGCTCCCATTGTCTCGGCACGTTTTTTTCAAGTTAAAAATATATATGTAACATTTGTTACAATTGTCCCGTGTTACATTCGACCTCGGTTTTCCCTGCATGAGGTTTATATGAAGTAAAAGTTTTCGACTTGAGTATGGATGAATAATATACTATTATACAGTTTCTGTAAATTTGATGACATTAAAATGTAAAATATAATTAATTACCTGCAATACGGCACAGACTTATTTATTCACTGAGAGAGATTTATAGTTATCGTTCCTCAAAATATGGGGAAGAAACAACCCCAACATAAACTTATTGTTATTTTCACATGCTAAAATATTGTTCCAATAACTAAATAGATTAAGTCTAATGCCAACTATTGCGACATTATATTATATATAATTGGTCTACATTATAAGTGTAAATTTGAGGTGTAATCTCCCAATCGGTGATAATATCGATGGGCCTCATATGTTAACCCAAAACATAACCATAATTATGAGATACTAGCCCGTGTAGGTACTTACTCCTTTCACGTCAGCTCGATAGCACTAGATCGTGACAAGTCCTTTGACTATAAAAGTACGGACTGCTAGTTGCTAACTTGACCCAGGCAGGTTGCCAGGATACCAACGCCATCGTGGACCAAAAACTAATGATTTCGTATACCCCGGAGTTGTAACTTAAATTCTCAACGATGTAGATTCGCGTTTAATTAAGGGAAATGGACCGCTACTGTTTGGTTAAAAGCTGTCAAAGCACAAAACATCAGAGGAAAAATAAAAAGAAAGGCGCAAACATCCCATTTCAAGGTATCAGATTAAGTGATACCTTATTTATAAACAACTAACTTTCTTTCTCCGAGCAATGCAAAGCTTTGAAGTGAATTTCCAAACATATCGAGATTTAGATATACGTGGAACGGCATTTGGAAATAAAATTCCATAGGTACTGAATAAAATGATTTTCGATATGAATATCGGAACATCTTCCCGCTCTGAACTCGAGTAGAAATGCTAGAGGTAAAGTGACTCCAAATCTAGCTTATTTTTTAGTATCTCCTTGACTTAAAGAGCCGGCCCCGTGGATTACGTTATCTCGATCGAAATAATTATATTTGAATTTTCTTTCCGTTTGGTCTATGACTCGAGCCTGCCTTACGATTCATGCTGGTCTCGCTTTTCGAGCTGTCAATGCATGATAAAATACGATCGGTTAGCAGTCCATACCTATATAGTCAAAGGATAAGTCAACTCCGTAGATTGCCTGCAACTTCAAGGACCAAACACCCGCAACAAATAGTAATGCACCACGCCGCGCTGCCTATGCTGAACACGTTTCGACGCGTTTGGCTTTGTTCTGACGCGAAAAGGAAGTATATTTGAGGATCACGTGGTTTAATATAGACGATTTGATTGGCTAAGTTTACGTACTAATATATATTTACCCAACCGCGTGTATTTATATGTATCAATATGTAAATTTACATACATGGTAAAAGCCTTACATGCCATGAGAAAAATTACAATGTAATATTACGTTTAATTCAAGTAAAAGTACACTGATGCTGTAAATGTACAATGTCACGGACACTCGTACATTTCCTGATATGTAATTCTTCCATTTTGTTTTTTTTTTAATGTAAAACTTCAGTTATGTGATGTGTAAAAATGTATGTAAATTTTCATAGTTTTTCTTTTTTTTTTTCAGGGTATAATCACTAAACCGCTCGGAGAAATCTGCAAGATTCCCCGGCCTCGCCAGCCACGTAGCACCATCCACTCCCGCCCGCTTCTCCCGCGCGCGCACCCTCATTCGCCCACGTACATACATAAATACAGGTACTCACCGTCCACAGCAGCAGCAGCAGCATTGGTGGCGACGATTACGACAGCGGAAGTGCACAAGTTCTCATTCTGAATCAAATATTAGACACTCATTTCGCATTTTCTTCTAAACTTTATTTTTCTTTTGCTGCGTGTTTCTAATATGCGCATTTGACGTGCAACCTGACTACTGAAGACTGAGATTAAAGCTTATACAAAATCAAAATGATATCACGAGACATCATTTTGGCCGCGACGGTTTCCTCATATATGTATAAGTATCTGCAAGTAATATAGAGGGTGTAACAGAACTCGTAGCGATGGTTTATATTGCGCTATCCTTGTTGAAAAAGTAGTCGCAAGTTCCTGTACTATTTTTTCCGACAGTGCATAAATTTCCAATAATAATTGAGTGAAGCACAGCCGCAAAATCGTGTTCCCGAACAGAAGGCATAGCGGAGAGGACGTCGGGAAGGCTGCTACATTGCGGACAGCCGAATGCAGCCCTACATCTATATGTCGTTTCCGTATAATAATTATAAAGAAATCGAAGCAAAATTTCAGAAATCTCCTAAATTCATGGTTTTTGATGCCCCGATTGACTGCAGAGTGCCACCCTGCGCCATCTGTGATTTTAGTGTCAACTAAATTTTCTCCCAAAGATCTCGCGTTACCTCCGTTTTACCACAGAAGCGCATGCCATTTTTTTTGCCTTCATCCCGTTCAAGTGCGAGTTTCTCGATTACTAGAGTGTTCTAAATTGTTGCACAATTGTCCTGACACCTTCGTTTCTCATATCGCAGCCTTCGACACTTGTATATCGATCGAAATATGAGAGCTCAACGCCATTTTGGTTCTGGTCTAGGCTAAGTCAAACAATTTTTTGTCGAAAATCCATATTTTGAAAGCTTCAGGACAATTCTTATGTGATCACGAGTCATGTGTCAATGTTTCAGGCAATTCAATCCAATACCCCTCAAAAATAGTGTCTTATTCGAGTCGACTGATTGGAGAAGGGTTTCACTTCACCTTAACCCTTTGACTACTAAGAGCGCCTAAAGGCGCCCGACGTTTGGTCCAATATTGCCTGCTCGTCAGACGAATTTCGCCCTTACGTTGAAATGGCTCCGTGTTCAAAGGGTTAAGGTCTCAATAATCATGTGCTAGAGAAAAGTTTCATAAATACTTTGACGCTTCAGAGGCCAGATTCACATCATCTTAATAAGGAGGATTAGGATTCTCGAAGGAGTAGAATCGCAATTATAATATTTTCGATCTTGCGTAAAGAAAATCGTCGCATAGAGTCTAAAAAATGTCTTCTCGGGTGCAGCATGAATGGAATCATTTTTATTAAATGGATTAAACAATCGTCGCGTTCATTTCGATACATTTGGCATAATTAGCAGACTTGGTGATAGATGCCTTCCACCCTCGCCGATCGAGCGTCCTTATCTTTGAAACCCTTCCCGTAACTCTTCGTCACTGGACATCCATTTTCATTCTTTGACGGGAAAAACGTGAAATTTCGTTGTATCCTCTCAAGCGAATTGTCAGTGATGTTTTCGTCAGGCCTGTTGTTTAGGAAGGAGCGAGACCCGAGAAATCCAAGGTCTTGACCTGGGAAGGCTTCCGAGATCACACTGAAATTTACGAAATTCCATGTCATCGATAACGAACTTCTACTAGATCTTTGAATTCTTTAAAAACGATCCCAAGATCCTTCGAGATCATCCAGACATTGAAATTACTTTACATTTTTTCTTTTAAATTAAATTTGATAGGCGTCTCGTTCTTCCAAGTCTTCTATTTGTTGAAAATTTTTGTTCGAGATACAGTTGAAAACTACCCTGACATCTTTGTCTCTCATATTAGAGCCTTCAATACTCGTATACCGATCGAAATATGAGTGCACGACGCCATTTTGGTCTGGTCTAGGCTAAGTTAAAACATTTTTGTTCGAAAATATCGAAAATCCAAATTTTCCAAGTGCCAGGACAATTCGTAGGTGATCACACGTCATGTGCCAAAGTTTCGGTCAATTCGATCTGATATCTTTAAAAAAAAAAAAGTGTCTTATTCAAATCGACTGATTTGAGGGGGATTTCACTTCACCTGAAAGGCTATTCCGTAATTTGGAAATGAAATGTCTTGAAAAAATATCGACCATAGTCATACTATATTTCGAACAGATATTATTAACAGTGAATCTCTAGTTACGTTACTTTTCTTTCTGTGAATCTATGGTAAGGTAATTGTATCTGCAATTAAAAAATAAGTAGAGATTTAATACCACGATTATTCTTAACCTCCTGAGGATATGGAGCACGGGGGTACATGGAGTGTATAGGAACTTTGGATCCCTCTAAATTTTCTTCTCTTATTTCTAATACATTCGAAAATGTCTCTCTCCTAGTTCGAAAAAATACATATCAAAATGATTGAAAATACTTCCAAATTTCATATTAAATAACAAGTTTGAAAAGAAGAATTCTTATTTTACTTCCCGTGATCTTAACACTAAACCTATCGAGAACTTATACCTCTATTTTGAATACAACTTAAAAGTGGTCATTTGACCGACCATGATAAATTTAGGTAGCGTTAACCCTTTTAGTGCCGAACAACGATATATCGTCGTTTTACAAGTGCTAACGACTTCGGCCAGCACTAAAAGGGTTAAAGTATGTATCTACAAGTTAGAATGGTATTATAAATATTATATTAAAACAACAAACATTTATTGCATATCAATGAACTCGCAGTGTTTAAATATAACGCGTAAAACTTATTAGATCTAATTAACACTGTTCAATGTCGCGTTCGATGACATTGTCATTGTATTAACCAAAATATAAGCGTTGTTCCTTGACTAACAATGAAATGTATCGACGAATATCACGTCAGATGGTCAGATGGAGAAGGATCCAAAGTTATCAATAGGTGGCCACCTCTCCCAGATTCACCCATACGAGGAGTACCGCAATTTGATGTCAGAACGATGACTACAACGGATAAGAAGAAGAGAGATAAAAAAAGAAATAATCGTTAGAAGAAGCGAAAAATATTACCGGTGCTCACCACAGTGATAATCTTTTCGCGACTAGTCGCTGTCCATGAAAATACTGTCTTTCTCGGACGCGTCCTTCAAGCTCGACTCGTCGACGAAGTTCTTCAAATTTTTTTCCTCCTGCGACTTGACACACTGCAAACCCCGCATTTCGTATCAATCGAATTTTACGAATTTCCAATTACCTAGCAACGTTCTAATAATTATAAATTAATTATGTCTGGCCGACGTAATTGTCGTGAAAAAACCTTCAAATTGCGTGTCCAAGGTAATTCAAGGTAATCGGTGAAAAATCGGTCACGAAGATTATTTTTCTTACCTCCTCGACCTTCATTCGCGGCGCCGCGATTTGCTCCGGAAAATGCCACGGCTTCAAATTCGGATTATTGCGCGACTTCCAGCTCAGGTAGCCCACGGAGGCTTTGTGCAACTTCTTCACCATCTGAAAAGGTATTTAGAAAGAGATCCGTGCTATGTCATGTTTTTGCCCCAGAGTTACCGGAGTCTTTAGGTCCTACTACTTTTCGAGGAATCTTTCATTCGTGAATTTCCGATATTCCATTTTCTCAGGTCGGACAAAGGAAGGGAGAAAGACGTAATAGGTGCTTAAAGATGATTCGAACGTATTTACGCGTCGATTCGTATGTAGATAGGAACAAGAAACGGATGCGTGGCCGCCACGCGCGTTGGAAGTGAGACTTATAAGTTAATGGGAATTCTTATTAATTGTTCTTAATCATTATTTCTCGAAATGCTCTTACGCGTTCGGTAATAGTTGTTTTAAGCATAACACTGCTAACATCCGAAAGTAAATATAAATATTAATTAACTACGAAAAATAACGGAAAGATTAAATTTCTGGTGGCTAACGGGAATGACCCGCGTCCGTTGTCATCAGTGGGCCGATGTTTCGCAAACGTTGTAGTTCGCTTCATGAAATGCCATCGTTCCCGAAAGCAACCACAAATTTAAGGAACAACTCAGACCACGGAAGTCTAACATTCATAACGGAAACGTTTACGCAAATTGGGCCAATGCTAACACATTAGGATTGGTTGGAAATTAGTCATTTACAGAAAGAAAACAAAAGCGTTTCACTTTCCATTATATTTTCCTTTTGACATTCGAACTTATACATGCATTGCCGCGATAAAAAGTTTCATTTTAGAAATTCTTTTCTCGTCAAATTTCATTTAATCGAGCTGCTACGATCTGCAGAAATGGTCCAAGTCGAAAATGTTTACCTCATGTACACGGAAAGAAAGAATGGCCAGGAAAACCACAATTGGGATAACCGTAACCATGTTGCAAGGCAATATATGGGATAGCCTTGCCAGGAGATTGTGACAATCATAGCAACACGGTAAAAGAACAGAGTAACGGTTTACTTCACCGTTTAGTCGAGGTAACTCCAAAGTACTAGTTATTGCAATATTATGCTTATCGTAACAACTAATATTCGTAATAGCTAATATTACCGTTCCAATTACAAAAATGGTAATCACTACTGCAACTTTTTAGAGCAGCGTCGCGAATACAGCAACTATTGAAAATGTTTCATTTACTATTCGATATAATCAGTCTCATCATTGTGTGGCTCGTAATACAACAATAATTTAGGCATGTTGCTATAATAATTTGTATCCAAATAATTTTTTTCCGTGTAGCCTAAACAACCTCTGAAATAGTCCAATGTTCAACATACGAAGAATGGGGTAACACTAGAACTACCAAGACCAGTCAAAATGACTAGTTTCAAATGGTCTATCCTATAGAAAAAAAATTCCGCCGGTAGTTCTAGTGTTAAATACCTCCTGAGGTATACGCTGCATGCGTAAATAGCTAATTACCCTGTCACATATTTAACATTGTTGATCAGATATGAAGCAATTCATTCTTATAAACGAATGTAAATTATGTTTAGAATGCATAATAATGTAGGTTGCTTCACGGAAGATGACGATTATATGAGACGCGTCATTGATTGCCTTTGTTTCTACTTCATTCGGTTTATATTTATGATGAATGAATTGTTCTTATTCTTATACATGTAGATAGTAGTACAATGTCTTATCCGAAGAATGACGATAGCACGAAATGCGTTACACTTTTTTCATTTATTTCCAACGCGTACCCTGCAATAGAAATTGTTTATCACAGAGACGTTGCAATATATCGCGAATTACTATTAAATAACATAGTACGCTAGAATTGTTTTAATTAACTTCATAGGCTTGCCGACTAAAAACTGAATTAGTTACTTGAAGGTGTTAGCAGTGGACATGAATGTCTTCCCGCAGATATGGTGTCGCAAGTGCGTGATGGGAAGACGTTTATGTCCATCAGTGTACTAACAATAAGTAGCAAGATATGAGTAAGCTGGATTGGTAAAAACGGCGGGCAACTTACCGCCTACTTACAAGGGAGATAACAAATAATCATCCGACGATCGTACCTTTGGTGCGTAGATTTGCGTGACTTTGTTGACCAACCATACGGGCAATTTTCCATGGGGATCCGTGTGGGAAACATAACCGAGTTCCGAGCCGTCGCCATTTCTAGATGGCCTTACGATGTATCCTTGCATTCGATCAACAACTTATTATTATATTTCGATTTATTTACAGGTAAATATGGTATTTAGGGAACCCACGTCCGATGATCTTGAACTTGAAATATTCTTGTTAAGGTCACTTTCCTAACTGACCTCTACAAAGTTTTAGCCGTCACTTGTTAACAAGTTAGTAACAAAATAACTTTTATAAGTGGAACGTACCTTTTCACCACCGGATATACATTTAAAGACTTAGCATGTAGTACATTAGCATATGTTGACGTTGTTTCTACATTTTCCTATCTGACTCTATAATATTTCATTTCCATGGTATTCTAAATTGTTCGAGCTATGTCCTAAAACTCTTCATTTTCGAATCTAAACCTTCAAAAAGCGTAAAACATCGAAAACCTGCACGGGCCACGCCGTTTTGATTCCAGTCCATGATAAATAAACAAATTTTGGATGAAAAATGAAATTTCATGAGTTTCAGGATCTACCAGAGGGCCACCGTATTCACGTGGTGAAATTTGAAACAAATCGGAACACCCAATTCGGAGAATACTTTAATCAACCATTTGACCTCTCCGATTTATGTAGGCTAACTCTTTCATATCACCCAGGTAAACACCTGAGACTCTGTCCATGCCAGGTCAAAGTCAAGGTCATTGGAGGTGGATCCCCTAAAAACCCCAGTTTTATCAGATATCTAGACATGTCCTCTACTATCTGCGTTTAATAGATGCATATCGTCATTATATATGTTTTCATATATTGTTGCATCACCGTCATATTGGTAGTAATGCGATTTGCGACCGTTACTACAATATTTTTCGGGTTTCGGAGAAACAGTCAATTAAACCACGAATTCTATATCAGAAAGCAAGAAAAAGAGGAAAGAAAGATTTAGGAAATGCACTATCGATGGTTCTTTTTGAGATATCATTTCTCATGGCCGTACAAATCATCATATACAAATTCCATCGTGTACATAGCACTTAAAAATTGATTTACATTCCAAAACAAGGAAAAATAATTTCTCGTAAGTAAGTTACTCGCAAATCGTAGTTATGTCACTTTTAACTACACTCTACAAGGTGCGTTTCAATAATTCAATTAAAACGGTAGATTCGAGTGTATTTACATTGTCTTCCAATTACGCGATCCGAGATATGAACTTTTGTACGAAAATGAAAAAATAACGTTCTGGCAAAGGATAATTTCGAAGTTCCACCGAGATAACCGACTAATTGCAATGGAATATTTTGTCTCAACGTTGTATAGAGAAGACATAGATGTTTCAGAAGGACTAGCAAAGAAAATCGGCGATTTTCTCAATCGATGATTTACCTGTAAGATACGAAGTAGCTCTGACGAAATGCTTTCGCGGGGGATAATTTTTGTGGTAAATGGAATGATTAATAATGAGTTGCTCCAGTCCCGTGTCTAGCCAGGATCGCTGCAGGACGAAGTCTCTGTTCTTCAACGGCGACGGACAAGCCACTGGAATAGTTTACATTTAATTATATAGATTTATCATTACGAGTTTCAGCGGTTTATTTATGGCCCTAAGTCAGGGTTGGGTAAGTATAATACGTCAAGTAACATACGTGGTTTTCTACACGTATATTACAACGTATAATACGTCCCTAGTTTTCTACGCAGGCACAAAGTATATTACCCCAAACTAAACGTGCAAAGCGCATGCGCGATATCGGCAATAGCCAATGAGAGTCCACCTATTTACCTCTAAGTGATATTCTCATTGGCTATTAAGAGGATTGCGCTTTTCGCTTCCACAAATCCGCGCACATTCGAAATCAGCCTTAGAAATTTCAAATATATGCATATACGTGCATTTAACGTTTGTTTATAACGGCTGATAACGGCTATTTGAAGTCGTAAGATTCGTAACCAATATTTATATCAAAATGTATGAAGGTGGAAGATGAAAAAGTAAATTATGGGATGAAACAAATCGACAACATAAATGTTTATAACCCAGCGAATACCGCATGCCCTACGTCTGTCTTGTCCGCCATATTTGATATGTTTTCTCCTGGTTCTCTACGTTTTCTACGGTAAACTACTCGATTTACGTAATATACGTCAAAAATCTCAAAAATCGTGAAATTACCCAACCCTGGCCCTAGTAACCGTAGCCAGAAAGTCGTGAATGATCGTCACGCTACGTGAAATATGTGAAGCTTAATAGATTTTTACGATTCCTATAGATGGCGATACTAGTGACGTTGTTTTTGCCCAATTTTGCCAACCTGTTTTACCGCTTCTTATCGTGCAATGAACGCAAGATTTAAACATATTTGGCACATGTTCGATGTGTGCTCGAAGCGACAAGCGTTCAAGTCTCTGGATGAAATAAAATTCAATGACATTTCAGTTTAAAGCACAAATAATTGTTTCAATAATTTTAAATTTAATTCTTTCCTGTTGTATATGACTAATCTTTTATTTCCCCTACTTATTTTTAATTTAGTATTGCTATATCATAAAACACAGAAAATTAAAACAAAATATTGAGTCGGAAAAAATTCATTATCCAAAAATCCATCGACTTTTCCCTGACATAACCTAATACCTTACATATTAGGTTATGGGTATACCCGAGGTATACTCCTAGCATATGATTGTTTTGGTGCTCGTCAAATAAAATATTATTTTCAAATTTAGTCTCTAATTTTTGTATCGGTTTCGATATAGTTTTTAATATTTGTCTTCGGTTTGAGGAAGCAGAAAATCTTGTATATGCAACATATGTGAAACCAAATGTACTGTGCCATTTGGCAAACAGATTTTAGCTGGGATTTTAATGGAGTGAATGTTCTACTATATTTGGCAAAAATATTTAATGATTTAAGCTTTTTATGGGAAGGGAGCAACTGGAGCTATTTTTGCAATTAATTGAATAAAAATAAATGTATTTGATTAAGTTTTTGTATACCGAGGGTTTATTTTGAGGGGATTATAATAAGACAAATTGGATATATTGGGTCATTATGATTTTAGATCTCAGGCATAAAGTCAAAACTTTCAGCGCAACTTCACAAGGAGAAAACTTAAAAAAAAGCAGCAGTTGCACAGTTTGAAAAAATATTTGAAACAAAGTATTTTAAGTTTCCCGAAAACTAACAGTTTGGATGTTATAGACATTTTAAACACATCGGATGTAGATGAATATGATCTAGATTTTAGTGGGCTATTTCACAAATGAAATGGGCCTGCTGTTTGGAGAAGAGAGATTGCTGATTATCTTATAGAAAAATGAGTGGCAGAAACGTTTATATATTTATTCCAACTTGTCACAGATGGCAAAGGATTATTTTAGTACACTTATTACTTCCGTACCCACTGAAAGATAGTTTTCGAAGGCTGGTTTAACTGTTACCAAAATTAGAAACGGGCTTAACGAAGCAACCACGAAAGTAGTAGTGTTCATAATTTACTAATATCGTTAATGATCATCTACTCCAAAATATGAATGAATCCAAATCATAAGTGTACTCGTGCAGCTCACGGAAAGTCATTTCATTAAATTGATTTTATTTTATTTTAAGCTGGAGGTATCAAATCTGGAGTTTATCGAACAAAGAGGGTTTCTAGGAATATAGGAGACTAGATGATTTTTATTTTTCACATAATCTCGTACTTACCCGAGTAGTAGCCGATGTCGTTATTGGGGTTGAAAAAACCTATATCCTTTGATTCGATCATGTGCGTATCCCAAACCCTTCTATACTCAGGGTCGTGCAGAACGTCGTACAAAGTCTCGGGCGATACATCCGGAAACCTCGTTCTTATCTAAGATGTTTACATATTATTTAATTAGTTTAACAAATGTTAGTGGCTTTACCTAATGCGAAGATCCCAACTAAAGTCGAAGTCTTTTCTAAGTAAGAATTATTGATCGAATATTTTCAGAATCAAGGGGGTTCAAAATTCACTTTTTTGTGAACGAGTTTATCGATATGTTGCACTTTTTCACTCATTTCTAAGGCTAATTCAATAAATATTGCTCAATTAAGATAGCATGCCATATGTGTCCTTCGCAGATGTACCTTTGATGCTGAACTTTCTACATCTGATAGACCAGTCAAAGAATGGCAAGACTGCATTCGGTCTAACAAAATTTGGCAAGTAAATAATCTTTCTTACTTTCACTTACTTTACATCCGAAAAGAATGTAGAATGAGACTGGTTGCATGAAGTATGTCTAGGTACTTATAAAAAAGCCCACTGTCGATTAATTATCCCTTTAGTAAAAAAAATGATGCTTCTGGTCCAGACATACATCAATCAAAATTTCACAAATTGCTTGGACTGATTTTATAAATTAGGTAATAACAAATTTTATTGATAAACTTGTATGGCAACGAATCAACTTCAAACCCCCTTAAGACTTGAATTTCTACTGAAATTCTATTGAGTCATATGAATATTGTCTTAATTTGCATATTTTTTTAATCTTTGTTATTTTGTTTAAATTGACAAACGTCTCATTAGAAAAAGAAACAATTGCTCTTGGCAATCTAAAACATTACAGGATTAATTAAGGATAATCAATTTTTCCTATTAATCCATAGAAAGTTGTATAGTAATAAATAATTGGAGATGTGGAAGGATAAGAGTAACGAGCTGAACTGACTTTCACCATTCTGAAACTAATTCCAGGGACAGATTTAGTCCACACCGACATATCAGGCTTGTTGTAATCCAACCTCCAGTCATTGTTATTATCGTACAGCTGCTTTAACTTTTCGAAATCTTTATCTTCTGCAATTTTGACGGCACCAACCTCCATTCCGGTGTGATCCTGAATGTACAGAAAATCATTTCACTATCAAAAACACTACAAACATCTTTTGCTAGTTTATTTATATTCATGTAAAAAACTCACATTTTTGTTTCATAAGGATTTTGTAAAGAAATTATATAAAGTTATGTCAATTCAACAATGGTAAATGACATACAGTTAACACTGCAAACACTAATCAACAAATAATTCAATTATTCATGAAAAAAGAGATTATTAGTAATCAATTACTCGAAGTTTTTAGTTTCAATGCAATTAAAGATTATATTTGGTTGTATGACTTATTTAAAATCAATACTAATAGTTTTCATTATCATTATAAAAATAACTATTGTTTAAACGATGTATATAAATTAACCTAAGATTATATTTCAAAATATTGGTTTTTAACCCAATGTAATATAACATTGTGTGCGAGCTGCAGAGTAAATAAGGTAATTACTCCACATTAGGATTAATAAAGAAGCAATATGTAAACTAATTCTAACTTTATTAATAAAAATAAACATTAAGATTATATAATAAATAAGAAGAAAGGCAGAATAGAACGGTATAACGCATTAGAAATTTAAACACGTGCACACACATAATTAATGTATTAATCACCAAAGAAAAGAATTATTAATATGTTTATGATTAATATTGTGTTTTGCTTAGGTGATTAAAATTATTTAAATATCATGTTAACAAATACATAAAAATATTTCAAGAGATTAAAATCCCTAATAATTGTATATCTTACTTTATTTTTCCATAACACAAATGAAAAACTGCAATTCTGTGCTCTTGTTAATGATAACAAGAAACAGGTCGAGTTCATTCTTGAAATACATTCCTCAATGGCGAGACATGGAAGCTTAAAGTAATATGTACCATTTGTTGCATTACATCCGAGGTGGATCTCTGTAGCAATCCTGACACACAGATCAGAAACTCAGAAAGGGATCGGTGGGAGGATTACTTCTTCGAAACGTTGAATCGCTTCACGCAATGAAGTATAGTAAGAATTATTACTTAACTGGAGTGAATAACAAGACAGTAAACAAACCAGCCGATACTTTTTACTTAGAGAAACATTCGGCCCACTGACAGCGTATACCATTGCTCATATTTACGATTCTCACAAATTATGCTCCACTACGGTTTTCCTGACATCTCTAACTCGTCTGATTCAAATATTTCCGATAAACCAAACCGGAAGCGCCTAAATACTAAAATAATGCCAGAAAGAATATGCCGTTAGGGTTCGCATTGGAACTGCAATTAACATTTTCCGAATATATCCTACCATACTCGACCAACACAAAACACGGGTCGACCGACATGGACGGAGCGCACTAACAGCTGCTGACAGCGTTCTCAGGGCTACACTAAGCTGCACTCAGCTGCACTGGCGTAGAATAGCACCGCTTACACGTTCGATTGGACAATTCAGTGCGCCCGGTGCCGGTGTATAACAGAGATGAGGTTGGGAGATTGCTCACGGCCAGGGTCGCGCAATCGTCCTGTGCTGCCCCCGGTGGAGGATACGGACGGCTAATGCACTTGCTACTTGTTACCCAGAGATGAGTTGGGAGATTGCTCACGGGCAGGGTCGCGCAATCGCACTGCCCATGATGATTTTACCAAAAATGGCTGCTTCCAGGTGATCCACCTAAACCTGCAAAGGGGAACAAAAGTACAGGTAAAACGGAACATTGAAGAAACACCAGGAAGTCGCCAGATTCTCTGAAGTGGCCAACCTAAAGCTGAAAGGGAACACAAAGGCACAAACGAAACCATTGGGAAAGCGAGAAAGAGATGGTGATACAAGAGCTAATAACTTACTAAAGTTACCATTAAAGTCAAGAATATTTCGCAGGGCATCGATCTCGTATAATTGACCCAGTAAAAATGTATTCAATAATACAATACCATCCTGTGATATATCCGCGATTGTATCAATTTTCTTTCAGCAATAAAATTAATTAGACCGCGCTTGGGAATCGAATAAATGTGCAATACGCTCGGACTGCGCATCCTCGGATCGCAGGTCGTCGTTTTGCTAGCTTTTAGATCATCTCGCGGAGTCATTTTTTTTTTTTTTATTAATCCAACAAATCAGCAGATTGCCAAGCGTTCGAGACGTAGGGGGCTCTGCCCGAAGAGGCTTCAAGAGTTGAAGAGGCTATATGCCGAAGCGACCCCTTAAGAAGAGGGCAACTACGATGGTCTTCCGTTCGAAAGAACGGACAATCATCATTTATTTGGCCACGTTGTCCCTCCTATATTTTTATACGTATTTTATCTGGATTGACGGGGAGAGACGGTGAACTATCTTTTTCACGAAATTTTCTCGAGTCTGCATTTAAGTAAGATAAATATATTAGATTATTGTCACGCCAAGTAATGTATTATTGAATACATTTTTACTGGGTCAATTATACGAGATCGATGCCCTGCGAAATATTCTTGACTTTAATGGTAACTTTAGTAAGTTATTAGCTCTTGTATCACCATCTCTTTCTCGCTTTCCCAATGGTTTCGTTTGTGCCTTTGTGTTCCCTTTCAGCTTTAGGTTGGCCACTTCAGAGAATCTGGCGACTTCCAGGTGTTTCTTCAATGTTCCGTTTTACCTGTACTTTTGTGCCCCTTTGCAGGTTTAGGTGGATCACTTGGAAGCAGCCATTTTTGGTAAAATCATCATGGGCAGTTAATCGAAATCGAGCTTGCAGCACTTGTTGGTAGAAGATGTTAAAATATGTTAAAGGATGTTTGTGAATTTTTTTCGCGATGCGAATTGCGTCCACGGTAGCTTGATGGGGAAGGTTGTTCGGTTTAAATTGATCTCTCGAGCTAGTGGCTGCAATTTTTTTCGGAGGAGATACAGGGTTTCGGAGTTTTTGTGAGGAGTTCTTCACTTTTTCAGCCGGTTTTCCGGCTGCCCAGAGTTGTAACAGGTGGCAAGTGCATTAGCCGTCTGCATCCTCCACCGGAGGTCGCACAGGACGTGGTCGCTCGATCCTTTCCGTGAATCTCTCGACTCATCTCTGATTTGGCAGAGATGAGTTGGCCCCTACCAGAAATTCGTTGCGCCGTCCTTGGGGCAAAAAACGGTGAAAGCTAACGTACGAAACCAGAGGGCAGCACACGATGCGATTGCGCGACCCTGCCCGTGAGCAATCTCCCAACTCATCTCTATGTTACTCTGTGGCGGCGCAACACATTCCGGCGGGGTGGCGTATTGCGTAAGGTATTGTGAGTGGGTCCGAAATCTTAGTCTCCTGATTGGCTGAAATTTGGTTACACCGATAAACAGCAAACGCAATAGTACATACAGTATGGTAGTAGAGTGGTTCTGAAATTACGCGCCGCTTTTTAGACCAATCCATGGATGTCAGTATTCTTACGAGCCAATGAGCCAGCTGAGCCAATCAGGAGACTGAAAAATCAGGACTAACATACCCCTCCCTTTCCTACGCGTTGGCTTCCCCCCTGGTCCATGATGGGACTTTGGGCTCCATCACCATCTATTCATACTGATTCATACGCATTCATACGTCCATGTCGGTCCCGATAAAACGAGGATTGTGGAGTATGACGGAGACGTAGTCTATATATTTCAGTGATCAGAACGACACATAGATGTTTCTCAGGTTAGTAACGTTGATATTTCTGGGCCCACATAAGAATTGTTTCTCTGTATTGCGACAAGTGAATCACATGTTCAAGTGGAATATTCATGACACTTTTAGATTAAGTATTCAAACATTTTCATTTATTGTTGGCATTTCCAAGTCAATTATCACTATCAAATGCGTTCCGATTAAGGACATTACCAATATTTGATAAAACTATGATCATAGGTTTCTTCCGATCTTAAATAGATTTAACCCTTTTAGTGCCGGCCGAAGTTGTTAGCACTTGTAAAACGACGATATATCGTTGTTTGGCACTAAAAGGGTTAACATTGATCAGTTGTTTTGTAATTTATTAGTATTGCGTTTTTATAGTTTCGGTATCACTCTTTTATAGTTATAACATTGACCCTTATAGTTTAGTAATGTACTGGTATCGTACTTTTATAGTTCTAACGTTGATCAACATTTTTTACTTTGCTCCTTTACTAGTATTGATCCTTTCAAACTGATACTTTGGTTTTATGATTATTAGGTTATGTTGATAATTGTTAATTTTTTCTTAGTACGAAATTATTTTTACATCAATACATTAGTCTGGTACTTTATATATAAATAAGAAAACCATGTGGGATACAAATTGAAAGCATAAAGGGATACTTTGTCTTCGAGCTCCTTGCAACCTCTTCCTTAGGCTATTTTTCACTGTCCGAAATGAGGAAAAAGTACGATTAAAATGTAAGTTATTAATTAGTAATTTAATTCATTATAAGATTTGCTTCCCTACATCTGTATAATATTAGGTCTACTGGAAAGTTCTGTTCAATAATGCTGTCTCAAGTGTCAACACAAACGGACAGAACTTTCTGGTAAACATAATATCTAAAGGATAACGGCATGTTTTTTTTCTTCCCTTTTTTTGTTGGTGAAGGTGAAAGCTGTGGATATATGTCTGTAATATTGTGAAAGTGCTGGAGAGTACAGGTAGGGATAAGAGGAGCTGCCACGGAAAGAGAGATTCATAAGACAATTAGTATAAGTCTTGCATAGTAAGTTATTAGAAATATCGCCCACTGTATTTATGTTCAAAGCCTCTCAGCCTATTTCACACTTTTATTAGTTAATCTCATACCTAGAGGCAATACATTTTTTTTATTTAGCGTAAGTTTTTTTATACAGCCTTACCCTCCATTGTCACCTGAATAACTGAGTTAGTCGGCTCTGTTCTTATTGTTTCCTAAAGTTTGTTTGCAGCCAGGAATACCTGAGGCCCACCTGCTTGGAGAATATTAAGTAAAAGATTGTGACGAATTTTGTATTTAGTCATTTAGTTCAAAGAGCAGGTGCGGTCTTGGTAAAGTTCAATCGCATGGAGTCACTTTTGTAACGACCAGGTATATCAGAATTGACTTTAACATGAATATTTCATTTAACATGTTTTATAAAATTACTGAGTAATCGAAAATCCACATGTTACTATACTTTAATGTAACTAACGAAATGCAGAAGAGGAAAGCAAAGACTTAACAATAAGTTATAACAACCAAATGAAAGCATGAATACTTGACACAGATGCACAAAACCGATTTGAATCGATGGATCAATATAACAGATTTACATCGTTTTAATTAATTGTCTCTTTAACATACCAGAACCATTTTATCCATGTAGCTTCTAATACTATTTGTTCGAGTCTAAAAATAATAATTTTACTTTTTGGTATAATGTGTCAATCAATAATGAAACATTTTAATAATAATGATTTGTCATTATTACAGAGTGAGAAAACATCATACTAACTTTATTGTCAGCAGTAATTAAAAAGTTTTTTGAAACTATTTTAAAACTTGTGCAATGAAAACAAGTGAAACAGGATTCAAAGGAACTGTACAAAAATTCAGACATGCTGGAATACGAGAACCAGATGTTCTTGGAAATACTTCATGAAGATGGATTAATCATAACTGCAAAGTATGTTTATCATTTTCACATGTATTGTTAAGTTATCAAATTAGTTAAAGCGGTTTTATAAGATCTAGACAATTATATAATAAAAGTACATTAAAGTATATGAAGGTCCAGCCGCCGCTCATAATAAGTAGATGCTTTATAACCTTCTGCCTTCGCTTGTCGAGCCTCATGAAATATTACTTTGAAAACCTTCAAATTATTGTCAAAATTGATTTTAAGGAATTTGAGGTTTAATGCTAATCATGTTTTACTATAGAATGGTTTTAGGTGCAAGCATATATTGTATGTTAGAATACAATTCTTTCTCTTGTTTTTTTATATTGAGATAAAATAAAGCATTTAGCAAAATACTTATTTTTAATAAAGAAACATTAAGCCCAACGCAGATAAAATAGGTTTAGCAGTTATCTTATGGATATATAACTATAAATGATTTTGAATGGCAAGTTAGTATTGTTTGCTTGAACAGTTTTTTTTTCAGTTCCTTGTTCACAAAATAGAGGAGTAACATACAGTTTTGTTATAATTTTTTAAATTTACTACACATATTGAAATCACGCTGCATATCTAACAATGGAGATTTACCAATTCGTAAAAATTGAGTATCCATAGCCAGATAGAAAGTTTGTTAAGTTTTTAAACAGTTACTAGCTAGTTTTCCCCAATTCTCCCTAGGTGCTGACCAGTCAAATTTGCCAGTTACTAGCTAGATTTATAACCAGAGATGAGTTACTAGATTGCTCACGGACAGGACCGCGTGATCGCGTCCTGTGCTGCCCCCCCGGTAGAGAATGCGGACGGCTAACGCGCTTGCCACGTGTTATCTCTCAGTGGTGGCACAACATATTCTTGGTGGGGGCTCGCGCAATCGCGATGCAAGATACAGGGTTTGAAGTTATTGTGAGGGGTCCATGCCTTTTTTAGCCAGTTTTCGGACTGCCTAGCCCCAGGTGAATTTTTTTTTTCGCACCTGCGACCACGGTAGCTCGACGGGGAAGGTTGGTCTCTTTAAATTGATCTCTCTAGTTAGGGGCTGCGATTCTTTCCATGAGAGATACGCGTTTTAAGGCGTTTTTGGCATTTCGAGGCGTCTTGAGGTTTTTTTTTAGACGTTTCTAGACGTTTCTAGACATTTTTAGGCGTTTCTAGGCGTTTCTAGGCGTTTCTAGGCGTTTCTAGGCGTTTTAAGGCGTTTTAAGGCGTTTTTGGGCGACTTTAAATGGTTTTAAGCAGTTTTTGACGGTTTTAGTTGATTTTAAACGATTTTGGAAGGTTTTAGATGTCTGTCTACCCCTTCCTGCGTCTTCCTGCATCAACTGCCACATGGTATGACCATCGCGAGTCCGTGAGACGCTAACGGCGACTGTTATATGGCACCGCCATCGTAGTTGCTGCAACCCCCACTAGAAATGAATTGCGCTGCCGCTGAGTGGTATCAGGTGGCAAGTACGTTAACCGTCCGCATCCTCCACCGAGGATCGCATGAACCTGCCCGTGAGCAATTTCCCAACTAATCTTTCCTTTTAATCCTTTTGACTTTGGTCCTTGGGATCTGTCACCGGTTGCAAGGTCAACAGTTCGAATCCGGCCGTCGTGAGGCGGCCGGTCAGCAGTTAGCAACAGCAATATACGAGTCGTTAGATGTATATCCAACAACGAGAAACAAATAAACAACGAGCAACGGCTAGAACCTTGTGGAAGTCACTTAGGAAGGTGACTCAAGGGGGGACCTTGACAGCATATGTCAAGGTCAAGATTATCAGAGTTGGGTCCTCAAAATCCCAGTTTTATCGCCATAGTTTATGTAATTATACTAATTTACTGCCATGTTTTCAGAGGTCTTGGTTTGGACACGGTATTTATAAATTTATTGAAAGCTTATTCAGACCCAGGACACTTAGTCATAGTTTTAGGTACAACAAATAAAGATGAACAGTATTTTATTGAAAAGCTTCGTAGTCAAAATGAAAAACATCTTCCTCGTGTTATAACAGCAGAGGTTACATCCAGTGAAAGGTATGACGGCTCGCTTCAATTCTCTTCAATATTACATTAAAATAGTAAAATAAAACATTTTTCCGTTCTACCTTCCCTTTTGTCGGCGGTAGTGCGCCTCGTTCAGTCGCTCAGGAAGACAAAGTTGCCCCATCTCTATTCAAACCACATGCTCCTCTTCCCAAACGTTACATTTTTTCATCTTACGAGTCGTTCCCACAACTTGGATTTACTTTGCGGTCGTTAAAGAAGTTTCACTTAAAACATACTTTCAGTCTCGAAAAGGGAAACAAAGGGTATCGTTTGAGATGCATGGTGCGGTAAACACGTGCACTGTAAATGCTCTTAAAGCAAAAATTTAGTTCCTACAGTAGGCAATGGATGGCTGTGCCATCGATTAGCTCATCATAATAGGATTGTGCGTAGTCTATACCGAATATCAAAAATTAAAGATCCAAAGGATATGTTGGGTTTTATCTCGATCTCTTTGTAAACATTCTACTAAAATGACGTACTAAGTATGTCATTTTGTATAATTTTCAATGCGCCAGTTTGTTACCATTCAAGTATACGAAATGACATTACTGTCGGAAAAGGTGGTGACCGGAGATAGAAGAATTTTATTTGACGTCGATTAAATTTCTGGGCGCCTTTCATATCACCTTCACATTTCGTTAAATAATGCACAAAACAATAAAGAGGAATTATCAATCTTAAATTTCATCACCTCTGACTTTCTCTATGATCATATGATCGATTAGAATACCCTCTGTGTGTGTATGTTTAATTATATATGATATACCGTCATAGGGAAATTACTTATTTGGATGGAGGAGTATTGTTTATGTCTGGGCGAATTTTAGTTGTGGATCTGCTAAAGAGCCGTGTACCCTTACATTTAGTTAGCGGAATACTCGTCTATAGAGCACATAAAATATTAAACTCCCACCAAGAGGTATTCGCAATTCGTCTTTATCGACAAACGAATAAGGTTTGTAATATTTTATAATGGAACAATAGTTGGAGTGCCTAAATTGTAGTTTCATACAAAATCTGAAAATTCTTCTTGTAGATTGTATTTATAGAAATGTAATTATATTTTACAATATTCATTTTCAGACTGGATTCATTAAAGCGTTTTCTAATTCTGCTTTGGCATTCAATGCTGGGTTTGCTCAAGTTGAGCGGGTAATGAGAACATTATTTATAAAACAGTTATACCTCTGGCCACGTTTTCATTCAGTAGTGACCAACAGTTTATCAACTTACAAGGTAATTAAAAATATTACGTTATTTGGACTCGGGTGCAAAAACGGTAATAAATGTCAGTCCCTCGCTATAAAGTTCATTTAATGTTTTTTACAGCCACAAGTTATAGAACTTCATGTTAAATTAACGCCGAAAATGTTGAAAATCCAGTCACTCTTGCTTGATGTAATGAATTATCTCATAAAGGAATTAAAAAGGATTAACAAATATGTATGTATTATTTGTAAGTTAAACGTTTCCTATTCATATTTCAGACAAAATTATATTATGTTAAAAATAAAATAATTGACAAGTATTATGTGGAAAAATCAACTTATTGCAAGTAACACTCATATATAATTACTTTCAGATAGATTTGGATGAATTAACCGTTGAAAATGCAATAGCAAAAAAATTTCATAAGCAGCTGCAACAACAATTGGATCCAATGTGGCATCAACTCAGTAAAAAAACAAAACAACTGATTTCTGAAATCAAAACCTTACGGTCCTTACTGATGTAAGTTTTTCAAATATATCATTTTATTGAATCACTTGAATTAAAAATATGCAGGGCGTTGTTACGTTTTAAAAATCCAAATTTTGAAAGTCTCGGGATAATTCTCAGGTGCTCACGAGTCATCTGTCAACGTTTCAGACAGTTCTATCCAATACCCTTAGGGGGGGGTATTCGAATCGACAGATTTGAGGAAGGTTTCACTTCACCTTAATTCTATAAAGTTGCTGAATTGCAGAATACGGACTCAGGGTTTTCATCACCGAGTTCTGAAAGATGGGTTTGCCATACTTTGACTTGAAGATTCAGAAATGTTTGTTTAGTCATAGTAGCGCACCTAGTGCATTGGTTACATAATACATCCTACTTCAAACCACAAAAATTAAATAAAAGTTGAAATACCAAGGCGAATAAAGCCATAAGAAATACGTGATTTCGTTACCAAAAATGAAACCAAGTTTTTGAAGCTATTGAAACAAAGATTTGTATGAAACGTGATATAATGCTTCTTAATATTGTTATTTTTGTACTTTTCGATGTAACGATTAGAAATGTATAAATTCATCCCTATTTCATGCTTAGCTCTGCGAATGTAATATGACAATTCGATCTACAATATGCTGCTAAGAATTGTTTACAATCGGTACAGTAATTTCTTATGTTATTTACCACACAGGTCATTAGCATATGATGATTCGGTATCCTTCTATGAATTGCTGAATCGCTTACGATCGAAGGAATACGTAATAAATAGTAGCGGGTGGTTATTATTAGACATCGTTGAAGAGTTATTTAAATGTACAAAGGAAAGAGTATATACTGACAAAAATGGTAAGTACTTCTGAGATTTCTACAAATGTTCATATTGCTTTTAATTAATACGAGGGGTTGTAGTTTCTTGTTTGGGTACCCTAGAAGCTCCACTTAAAAATGCGACTCACTTTTATAACGTTAAGAAGCTATTGAATCTGATGCGTGTCGCTGTATTTTAATTGCGTAAACAATTTCCATATTTTACCTGTATTCATGTACATGTATACATGCTGTTTCTATGTTTTATGTTCGCGTAGAACTGAAGCCGGAAGCAAATCCAAAGTGGACAATCTTATCGGAAATCATTCTGGAAATTCAAAACCACAATAAGAAACGTAGTGACTTGTCTGGACAAACACAGAAAGTATTAATTTTAGTGCAGGACACGGTTACGTGTTATCAGCTGAAAAACGTATTAATCAAGGGTCCCAGTGAATACTTACTATATCAAGCAACGAAGAAGATTCAGTTCAAGGAAACGAACAAGCAAAGGTATAGTACGAAAGATACTTTACATTCTAAACTGACCTACCCTTTCCGGGATTTGTATGTTTATATGTTACTTAAATAGTTTTCAAGCTGTTACTTTTATCAAATTCTCCTACACTTATCCTTAACCGGACATGTTAAGTCCGAAAGATTAAGCTGTGCACGACAATTTACGTGCTCAGATTTCTATCTAGTTAAATTATAATACTCGGTTTCGCATCAAATATATATAATTAGCATGCGTGAATGGCACCGAGTACTTAACTCTAAACTTCGTCAATTAGATAGATAGATAGATTTATTAATTTCGGCCTTCTCGGCCATGAAATGGACTTGGTTTACAATCTTTCCTTAACACACATATATACATATATACCGCCATCACTCACTCCACATTCATACCTTCATTCTTCGCTTGTCGCTTCTTTTTTTTTTTTTTCTATTTCTCTTAACCATTCTATTGCTTTTTCATTTATGCTTCCTTCTAATATCTCTTTTAACCTACAGTCAGCTCTTTCTATTGTTTGGTATTCTTTTAGCCAATGTTTTAAAGTACCATACATATCCTCACACAACATGCATTCCCTGCTTTCTTCATTCATCCAATACATATTCCATTCTTCTACACATCCTCATCTAGTTCTCGCCTGTAACTTCTGACTTCCTCTTTTCCCTAGCTTCTCTAAAAACTCCGGCCTTCCTACCGTTCTAACATGCCTGTATCTACGAGGCGTGTCCGGAAAGTAATGCAATTTCTTTTGTGCTGGTACTTAAAGTAGCCACAGAGAGTTCCAACCGGTTGGATTAGGTGAGAGGGGACTCTCAGCTTCAAAGCGATGCCTTCGCCAATCTGCTCCGAGCAGTTGGGGCGTGAAGATCGCTATCTCCGCGCACCCCTGTTTAGTGCCTGTGTCACGAAACGCGATGGAATCGTCACTCGAGCAACATTACGCGATCAAGTTTTGTTCAAAATTGAACAAATCTCTTGCAGAGACCCACCAATTGATCGTTCAAGCTTTCGGGGATAGTGCTCTATCGTATTCGCAAGTTTCGCGGTGGTTGAAAGCGTTTAAGGAAGGCCGGGAAGAGGTGGTCGACGAACCCTGCGCTGGACGGTCGTCAACCAGCACAATCGACGACAACTTGACTCGTGTGCGCGATCTGTTAAATTCTGATCGTTGGTTGAGAGTCCGGATGATTGCAGAAATTCTCAACATTCCCCAAATAATTGTACACGAACTGGTGACCGATAAATTGCACATGAGGAAGGTGTGTGCCAAGCTGGTTCCCAAGCTTTTAACGGACGATCAGAAGAATCACCGGGTGACTGTCGCGACTGATGTTCTCGAACGCGTGGAAATTGAACCTTCTTTCTTGGACAATATCATTACCGGGGATGAAACATGGTGTTTCGAGTACGACCCAGAAACATAACGTCAAAGCTGCGAGTGGCACACCTCGGGATCCCCAAAATCAAGAAAAGCAAGAATGAGTAAGTCGAAAGTGAAAGCGATGTTGATTGTCTTTCGACGCCAAATGTGTGGTCCACAAAGAGTTCATTCTTCAAGGTCAAACCGTGAACGCTGCCTACTACGTTGATGTGCTGGAAAAACTGCGAAAAAGGGTCGTCCGAGTCATAAAGAAGATCGCCACTACCTGGAAGCTCCACCATGGCAACGCTCCAAGCCATACCGCTCTGCGCGTTCGTGAGTACCTGGCGAAGCAGAACTTGGCAACGCTGCCGCAACCCCCCTACAGTCCGGACATGGCTCTGGCCGACTTCTTTCTCTTCCCGAGGATCAAGACCGCCATGAAAGGAATCCATTTTAGGTCGATTGAAGCCGTCCAAGGCGCCGTGACGAGGGCCATTGCCGAGGTCCCAGTTGAAGCCTTCCAGAGCACATACCGTGCGTGGCAGAGCCACTGGAAAAAGTGTTTAGATGCCCAAGGGAACTACTTCGAAGAATATTAAACTTTTGCAACATTTACAATAAATCTATTGGTTAAAAAAAAATTGCATTACTTTCCGGACAAACCTCGTAATTTTCCGTTGAACAGTTGGTTCACTTGTTCTTTCGTTTTTACTTCGCCTTTCTCCATGCCTTTAATCACCAGGTTATTTTTTCTTTCTCTTCTCTCGTGGAGTTCTAGACTTCTCTTCGGCCTCTCGAAATCTTCCTCTATTTGCTCTCATATGTTGCCTTCCCCGCTTATCTCGCTACTCCCCCGCTACTCTCTTTTCTAATAATTTCTTGTCTTCTTTCCACTCCATCTCCTTTTGCTCCGTTGCACTCTTTATTTCTTCAAGGAAACTCCTTAATTCCTTTATTTCCTCCTTTAAACCTTTTCACTTCCCTTCTTATCCTATTGTCCTATTTTGCCATTTAACACCTCCATTTTCATTTAAAACCTGAATTTCGCTTATTCTCGCTCTATGTTCGTCATTTTCTCGCTCAGTTATCGCTACTCTCTTTCATACCAACTGCACACTTTCACCACCACTAACCAAGTTTTTTCGTCAATTAGATAAATATTTATGTCTTAGTTAAAAGAACATCATAAATTCGATTATGGTGTAATTAAAGTGTTTTCATTTTTTAAAGCCTGTAATTTTTTAGATTTATTAGTGCAACCTATTATACATTATGTTAATATGAAAATATTGAAAGTCAAGTTTCGCTAACTCAATATGATCATCATCCTACGATAGTATTCATTTTAATGTTTTCTATTACAGTTTCGAATGTGATCCTGAAACGAGCAGCAATACTGAGAAAAATGAAAATGTGGAAGAAGATACAGAGCAAGACAGTTATGTTTTGACTTTATCGCAAAAACCATCTACACACATTGAATTAAAATCTCCAGGAGACTCGGAACAATTCTTTGAGGAATACTCTCAGGTAAATATCTATCTCGTTGATGTAAACAGAGTAATAGTGATAACGATGATTGCAGATTATGAAATGCTACTAATACAACTCATTATAATTTATATTTGAATCTAGATAGCAGAATTGGATTTGACAACATTCTCAACTTCAGTACCGCTCATCGTTATACAATCTCTCAAGAAAGCCTCTGATCCCATGGCTTTGCAACGTACCTTATTAGAAATGATGCCGAGTTATGTAATTATGTATGCAGCTGATATATCCGCAGTACGACAAGTGGAAGTGAATATGAGCAAATCACTATTCTATTTCTAATGTATATAAAAGGTGTAATGTCAGTCCGTCTGTACGCGATAATCTCGAAAAATACTTAACCTATTTTTCAGTAGTTTTCGAGAACATTTAGACAAAATATCTAGGAAGGTTTTAGGCTTGAAACAATCTTTTTCATTTCCGTTTGTTTTGTTATGTTCTGTCTATCCAAAGAGGTAAAAATGACATTTTTACTTGTTAAATTCAACAGGTCTATCAAAATTATAATCCAGCTATAAACCTTTGCGTTTATTTCTTGATTTATGGTGGTTCCGTTGAAGAACAAGCATATCTGTCTTCACTACGCAGAGAAAAAGACGCCTTCGAACGGTTAATTCGAGATAAATCAGTAAGTTCAACGTTATATTGATCAATTCCAAATAATGTTTTATATAATATAACTTCAAATATTTTAATTATTTGTAGCGGGTATGAAGCCGGAATCATTAATGTCCTTCACGATTAAGGAAATCATATTAATGTTTTGAAAAATTGTTCACTTGCAGTCTATGGTTGTACCAGCCGATCAAGATGGCAAAACAGAAGATTGTGCGGCCTTGTCGACAAAAGTTAATAATCCATTTAACGAAGAAAATACCCGCCAAGGGGGATTACAAACTGATGGAAAAGTTATAGAAAAAGTGGTTGTGGACATGAGAGAATTTGGATGTGAATTGCCAACCATCTTGCACAATCGTGGTATAGAAATCGATCCAGTTACTCTTCTAGTAAGTTTGGGAATAATTAAAAAACTGTCGATGCATGATTATCGAATGTTGTCCGCGTTAGGTCGTTGCGTTCCATTTCCAATGTTTGGTTAGTAGTTATACAGGTACACAATGCACTATTAATATGAATTTATAATAATACCGTTACAATCAGTTAGCTAAATACTTAGATATCGTAAATAATACATGTACTCATTCTTTCATTTACTAGATTGGCGATTACATATTATCACCGGATATATGTATCGAGCGTAAAAGTATTAGTGATTTGATTGGCTCCCTGCAATCTGGAAGATTATATACTCAGGTTATGGCTATGAATCGCCATTATCACAAACCTATGCTACTTATTGAGTTTGACCAAAATAAACCCTTCTGCTTGCAGGTTCATTGTATACTTAGTTTATTTATTTTATCATCCATGTTTACGGCGAACTGATTGTCCTTAGATATATACTTTTGCTTTTTTAGAGACATTACTATGTCAGTAAAGGCGTGGACAGTAAAGATGTGACCTCAAAATTACAACTACTTACGATGCATTTTCCGCGACTAAAATTAGTATGGTCTCCTAATCCACATGCTTCAGCACAACTATTTGAAGAATTGAAGGTAAGTGTTAACAGTTGGAAACATAATTGTAAATTTGTAGGGACTAATCACAACATGCAACCGTTTTCATTAGAAAGGTAAAGATCAACCTGACGGTGCAAGAGCTGTGTTAATCGGTACTCACGGAAATGCATATGAGAAGGAAGTAATGGCAAATAAATATAATGCGTGTATGTTTGACTTCATGATGCAAATACCTGGAGTAACCTCTAAAAATATATATGCGATATTGAATAAAGGAATATCGCTGGATCAACTTATTTCACACACTGAAGTAAGTTCATTAGTTAGTTATTCTATTGCATTTGATCTTCTTGTATCCTTATAGCATGTTAGGATTAATTTTAGAAATGTTTCCTTTGATGATATCGTCATCGGGAACCGCTAACAAACCTCGCGGCCCTTCGCGCAACTTTCTTTCCCGGCAACTGGCTGAAAAAGTCATGGACCCCTCAAAAAATCTTCAAACTCTGTATCTCCTCTGAAAAAAGTCGTTTGTAATACAGAGGGTGTGCCGACTGATTTACTAAAAAGTCGATAAACTTCTGTCATTTCATACTTCAACGTATAATTTTTACGTTCCGGTTGACGATTATGAGAAAAAAGTTTATAAAATATATCAAATGCGTTGCAGAATGAACTTTTATTTCGCTTCCTATAATTCATTTTAGTTCAAACTTCCGATTTCTTATAAACATTCACTACAGTCTTCTCGTGGAGTTAAACTTGCCGCTCCTGTGGTACGTGGTACCCGACCCCATCACCTGGCGGCGCCGTATACACGAGGAAGCCATTCATGACCGCCAGTGTATATCACTGCATTCTAATGCATAGATGTACAGTAATCCATATTATAATCAGATTGCATCTGTTACCTTTTTGAGAGAGTCATTATAACATTTAAGAGTTACTGAGTTGCCAAGAACTCAGGTTAGAATGCCACCCCTTAATTTAACGAACTATTGCTACTCCCCCATACTAGAGGTAATACTGGTAAATCTTTCATTGCCAATTGGGTACCCGTACAAATGATTATGCCTCCAATGGGGTAGTTATGATGTTCACCATTATCGATCACAAAAGTTTCTCTGTACAGTATGTAGTAGGGTCCAAAGCTTCGTTCTTCTTATCTTGACTACCGTTTAATACAGCATAATGCGGTATAAACATTCTGCTGTAGCACGGTCTTGAGCTTTGTACCCCAAATCTTACCCATGGTATTTGTGTACAACTACATTGTAGCATACAAATTTTTCTGTTGCACTCTGAAAACTTGCTTTATATCTACAATTATGCCTTAAAAATTTGAATAAAAAATGTAACCGAATGATCGTAATCATTGCTTTATGTAAACAATAAAATTCTTCTCTTGTTACAATTGTAAATAGAAATTTATATTTTCTAACATGTAATTGAGAATAGGAATATACGATTTTTCTTTTCTCAGGAACAACTAATTGACATTGTTGGAAATAAACAAGATGCACAAATATTGTACAATGGGTTACATACAATAAATCAGACAGCAGATGATATTCCAGAAGCTACCGTCAGTCGAACGATTTCAAGAGTACGAGAAAGGGGATTATTTTATAAACGAAATAGAAGCTCTTAAAAGCAGTACATTCATTTCATTATTAATAAATAATTAATTATTTAATAATTAATTAAAAATGTATTAATTTATTAATTCATATTAATTTTAAATTTTTCGTCCTAAACTGAAAGGTAAAAGGCAGGATCATGAATTGTATGGTATGTTCTGAAATACTGAAGCGAATAAAACAAATATGTACATATATTTGAATTAGAAGTATAAAACGCTAAAAGGTTCACTACGAAATAAATTATTAGAACAAAGTAATGGAAATCTCTAGTGTGCCCAACTGAAGAGTTTCAACTTATTAATCTGAAGTGTAAGTGAGGTTATTTGTGAGTTAATGATTGAAGAATCATTAATTCACAAATAACCCTACTTACATTTCAGATTAATAAGTTAAAATTTGTACTGTAATGTCTCAAGGCGAGAAATCACAACACGGATTTTCCAATGTTTAATAGAAAATAAATTAAGCACCTACACAGCAGGTGCACCTCGCCACGGCAGAACCGACGTCGGGAGACTACTATCATCACACATGATTGATTATACTATATATAATCCACACGTTTGTCCTGCACTTCCATCTATTTCATGCGTTGATTGAGGACATCAGAAGCTTCTCAAGCCTACACAGACACGAATACACAGGACGTCTGTCAGTCCTACGGGGAATGGCATCTCGGCTTTCTGAGCCAAGATGGTGGTGCCATGACGCCGGATGTTGTTCGCATATTTCATCCGCGTTTCCATCTGCTTCATGCGGCGATTGAGAACTCCATTAGATACACAAGCCTGCACCGACATGAATTCGGCTGACATCCGTAACGTATACGGGAAATCGCATCTCAGCTCCCCGAGCCAAGATGGTTGTTCCATGACGCCGGATGTTGTCCGTATGTTTCATCCGCGTTTCCATCTGCTTCATGCGCTGATTGAGGACATGAGGAGCTTCATACCCTTTCACTGTCATCGATACAAGTGCCACACGTCTGACCTGCGGGAAATCGCATCTCGGCTCCCCGAGCCAAGATGGTTGTACCATGACGCCGGATGTTGTCCGTATGTTTCACCCGCGTATCCATCTGCTTCATGTGGTGATTGAGGACATCAGCGGATACACAAGCCTGCACCGACATGAATTCGGTTGACATCCGTAACGTATACGGGAAATCGCATCTCGGCTCCCCGAGCCAAGATGGTTGTTCCATGACGCCGGATGTTGTCCGTATGTTTCACCCGCGTATCCATCTGCTTCATGTGGTGATTGAGGACATCAGTGGATACACAAGCCTGCACCGACATGAATTCGGTTGACATCCTTAACGTATACGGGAAATCGCATCTCGGCTCCCCGAGCCAAGATGGTTGTTCCATGACGCCGGATGTTGTCCGCATGTTTCACCCGCGTTTCCATCTGCTTCATGTGGTGATTGAGGACATCAGTGGATACACAAGCCTGCACCGACATGAATTCGGCTGACATCCGTAACGTATACGGGAAATCGCATCTCGGCTCCCTGAGCCAAGATGATTGTTCCATGACACCGGATGTTGTCCGTATGTTTCACCCGCGTATCCATCTGCTTCATGTGGTGATTGAGGACATCAGTGGATACACAAGCCTGCACCGACATGAATTCGGTTGACATCCGTAACGTATACGGGAAATCGCATCTCGGCTCCCCGAGCCAAGATGGTTGTTCCATGACGCCGGATATTGTCCGTATGTTTTACCGGCGTTCCAACCTGCATCGAGCGTTGATTGAGCACATCAGAAGCTACTCAAACCTGCACTCTCACGAATGTATCGGACATGCGTCTCTCCTACGTGAAAACGCATCTCGGCTCTCTGAGCCAAGACGGTGCCATGGCGCCGCATGTTGTCCGTATGTTTTACCCGCGATTCCATCTGCTCCATGCATTTATTGAGGGCAGCAGGAGCCATGTCTCAATTCTTCCCGCCAGTAGGGTCGATTGGTCTGCGTGCGCTGAAGAATCCGAGGGCCCCATTGCGACATCGAGCACGGACGCCGGTGCACCATGCACTGCAGGCGCACCACGCGCTGCCCCCGCCGCATCGAGACCGGGGCCGGGGGACTCCATAATCTTCACCGATGATTCTATAATACTGTCTGGGTTCCCGGACGCACGGCTGCCCCGGGTCCACGCCTCCGGCCGCGGAGCGTCCCCTCCGACCCCACTTGCACCATTCACTCGCGCGTGTGTGTTGTCAGGTGCACGACGATTCGTCGCCCCGCTTGCGACGTTTTCTCTGGCCAGGCGGTAGAGCAGCGAGATTTGTCCGGTCGTTGACGGCGCTGCCCGTGTGGCGATGGCGGCATCGTCATTAATATTACTACTTACATTAAAATTTGTACTACTGCCGCCATCGCCACTACCTCTATCATAATTGCCTCGAGCGTTCGCATTATCAGTCTGGGCAGGGGCGATCCCGCCAACGACATCATTATTCGGGTATTGCGTCTCGTCCCCATCGTTCTCGTTGTCTTGCGCATAATGCACAATAGCCCTTGTCGCGCGTGCCGCCACGGCCAAAGCTCTGCGTGCCCGCACGCGTTATCGCTGCGTCTCTAGCCCGACCGCGGCCACTGCTAGCGGAAATGCAGCCCGGGTCACGGGCGCATCCCCCTCGACACCCCCTGCGTCATTCGCCACCGTGGCCAATTCTGGATGCCGCCGCTACACATGGGCCTTAACGTCCTTAAAGGGGTATGCCCCGCGGCCCGTCTATTTACAGGCCGCACAGTAGTACTCCACGCGGACGGCGGCACCCGGGTGGCGCTGCCGGAAGTGCCGCGGCACCTTGGCATGATCATAGAACACACCCGGCATCGCGGCACCCCCGACAGCGCCCAACACAGCCCCCGCATCCGAATGACACAGGGGGCACGCGAATTTTGGGGGGAAGAGATACGCCACGCGGTTGGCCACCGCTCCCACATTAGCCATTCTCGGGATTTTTAAACGTTCGCCGGACGAACGGAGGCCTTCAAGAGGGTTACGAAGAGCTCAGTTAGTAACACCCCGCTTTGTCTGGCCCCCGATACCCCGGTCATACAGGAGATTCCACTCCCCTGCCGACGGCGCGG